GCAACAGCCCCTTCACCGTCAGCCCCTAACTCCCCAGCCCCTCTTCTCCCCTCTTCTCCCCACCCCACCCCACCCCACCCCACCCCATCCTGCTCTCCTCCCCCCCCCGCCACAGGGCTACGTGTACAACGACCCGGCCTGCTTTGCGTCGGGCCTCGTCTCGCACAACCTGGTGGTCGTGGGGTACAATGTGCTCGCGCCCGAGCCCTACTGGATTCTCCGCAACAGCTGGGGGACGGAGTGGGGCGAGGACGGGTACATGCGCATGGCCATCACCGCCCGGCCGGATCCCACCGGAGCGATCGACGTCAATGGTGGCGCCGGCGTGTGTGGGATCTACGCGACCCCTGCGCTCTACCCTGTTGTTGCCGGTACGTGTTGCGCCGGGGTTCGGGGTGGCTGGTTGGACGGGAGAGGATTTGGGGAGCTATTTTGATCGGGCTGGTTTGTTGCACATGAGTAGCGGTAGTGGCACCGGCGTGTGTGAGATCCGATCCACGCAACGCCATTGTTACCGCTCTCCAACCCATTGTTGCCGGTACGTGCTGTGCTGAGCTTTGTGGCTTTGAGATGTCTCAGGGCGACTCTTTGGCCTTTGGCAAAATTTCCATCCCTCTCTTCCCCAGCCCTCTACCCCATCCCTCTCACCCCATCCCTCTCTCCTCCCATACCTCTGCCCCCCACATCCCAGGCCCGTCCCCCTGCCAGCCGAACCCGTGCGGTAGCGGGGCGTGCATGGTGGTGACGAAACTAGACGGCTCTCAGTCCAACCAGTGCCGCTGCCGCCGCGGCTTTGTTGCCGTTGACAACGTGGATGGCTCTCAATCCTGCGCTCCTCGTACGCCTGGGGACCGCGGACGAGGGAAGGGCGGTGGGGCCGGGTAGGGGGAGCTGTAGTGCTTGTTGGGGGAGAAGCAGGGGGAGGGGTGGTGGGGATTGTGGTTTGACATAGTGCTTGGTTGAGAATGTGGACGGCTCTCAGTCCTGCGCTCCTCGTACGGTTGGGGGGGAAGGAGAGAGAAAGGAGGGACGCGTGGGTGGGGGAGAATGGGGGACGGGGGTGGTGGGGAAGGGGGAGGAAAGGGTGGGGGAGTCGGGTGCTTCTTGAGAATTCTGGAAAAAAGATAGGATGATGGTACGGGGGGCCTTGCCGGCTTCTGCTCCTCACCTTTACTGATTGTTCGAAGGGCTGCAGCAGTTGAAAAACGCTTAAGCAAAGGAACAACAGTGAAACAAACAAGCGTGAAAAAGACCAGATGATGGCACAGGGGGGCCTTGCTGGCTTCTGCTCCTCACCACCACGCACGCACGCCCCTCTCTCTCTTTCTCCTGCTCATGCTCTCTCTCTTCTCTCTCTCTTCTCCCTCTCTCCCCCACCCCCATGTCAGTGCGTGTCTGTGCGCTGTACCAGACGAACCCCTGCTGGGTGGGCACGTGTGTGGACAACAACAAGGGCAGCTTCTCCTGCCTCTGCCCCCCTGGCTTCATGCAAGGCCTCAAGGCCGATGGCACCACCACCTGCGTGCCTGGTACGCTGCTCTTTCTCTCCCCCTCCCTCCCTCCCTTCCCCACCTATCCCTCCCGCCCTCCCTCCCTCCCCCACCTCCCCCTTCTCCCCATCTCCCCTCACTCTCGCAGCTCATCAGCTCATTCTTCAAAGCCCTTATAAGCCATCTCACAAGCCATCTCACAAGCCCCTCTCACAAGCCCCTCTCACAAGCCCCTCTCACAAGCACTTCCTTCCCTTGTCTCTTTGGCTCTCCTCCTCCTTGCAGTGATTTCGCAGGAGGACAAGGGCACGTATTTGATCACAGGCCCTGGCGTCACCTGCTACGCGCTGGCAATCAGCTATGGCTTCACTCAGGCTGAGCTCAAGGAAAAGAACCCTGTATGTGTTCTGAGAAAACCCACCTGCTGCTCCCACACTCACCGGCTGATTTCACACTCACCGGTTGCTCGTTGCTCTCACACTCAACTGCTGTTCTCTGCTCTCACTCTCACCTGCTGCTGTGGATGATAGTTAAGTTAAGCGTGCGGTGGTGTTGCTGCTAAGCCCTCATCCTTTATACCTCCACACCTCGCCTCCCTCCCTCCTTTTCTCCCTCCCTCCTCCCCTCCCTCCTCACCTCCCCACTCTCATCCCTCCCTTACCTTCTGTGCATACCTCAGGACCTTGACTGTTCCGCAAGCATCCCTCCCAGCACGCTGCTCGATATCTCCGACTCCTCGCTCGCTCCATGCTCGCTCCCCTACACAGTCACACCGGTATGCCATTCCCTACACAGTCACACCGGTATGCCATTCCCTACACAGTCACACTCGTTTCATATTCGATACTCCTTCAAGTGTATGGAGTACAAGTCGTGTTCTGTGCCACTTACCTTCAGCCATGCCGTCCCATAGTTCACACGGCAGCCTTCATTCAGCATGCATGCAGCAGCCTTTCTCGTGCATGCCATGCTGCATGACCCCTTATCATTTCCTCCTCTTTCTTCCACTCTCTCCATCTTCGCATCGTGCCCTGCATTGCCTTGTGTGGCCCTGCATTGCCTTGTGTGGCCCTGCATTGCCTTGTGTGGCCCTGCATTGCACAGATCGACACATGCGACTCGATAGCGGAGACATTCAACATCTCAGCTGCAGAGCTCTCGTCTCTCAACCCCGCACTCGACTGCTCGCGACTCGTTATCGGCATCCAGGTAAGCTAAGCTAAGCCGCCCAGCTGAGACAACTCAAACACGCCGAAGCATAACAGCGCTTCGGGATGGAGAATATGACATGACATGACACCTTTCAGCAGTTCAGCTGTGGCATCTCAAACCAGGGTGGCTGGGAAAAAATTATGACATGACATGACACCTTTGAACAATTTACTAAGACTGGGACTCTTTTATGCGCTGGACGAATGGGACAACCCTCTCTCCTTGACCTTTCATGTACATCTACGACTGGGACGAGACAATCTCACGTCTACGTCTTCGCGCTGGTTCCTACCATGTCTGCCTCTCTCAGTTTCGAGGTGCCTCAAAACTAGTCTACATCTTCGCTCCTTTCCACTCTCTGCTTCCTTGCCTTTCACCCGCTTGGCCCCAACCTTTGCTGTTCGTATTTGTGTACCCCAGTGGCTGCCATACCAGTTCCTTCTCTGCACACCCCGCTTGAGACGTTTCAGACCTCCATTCCCTTTCAAAACCCCTTTGCCCCAATCTCTCTGCTCTGCTCTGCTCTGCTGTACCCTTCAGATCTGTGTGGCGCGAGGGCAGCCATACCAGTTCCCTCTCTGCACCCGCTACCACGACGTGGCGGACGGCGAGACATGCACCTCCCTCATGCAAGTCCAAGCGCGGCCGCCCCTCTCTCCCTTTGAGTTCTTCGCAATGAATCCTGGCCTCATGTGCAACAACCTCGTTCCGACCAAGCCGGGCGACGGGCTGGGTGGGCAGCAGGTCTGCCTCTCCTCCCTCCCGTTCTCTGCGTTCAAATGCGCGTACCGAACTTACTACACCAAGCGCGGCGACACGTGTGCATCGATCTACATGAAGTATTTCCGCACGCCGGCTGCGAAGGCCAAGACGACGCCTGCGCGGCTGTATGTGCAGCTGAATAGCAACACGGTGTGCCCATCGACCCTCCGGGTGGGGTACCAAGTGTGTCTTCCCAAGGGAGTGAGGCCCTCGTAGAATGGTCCTTGTGTGCTGCTTGTGTGCCATGTGTGTTGTGCAGTGGGGTGCAAAGGGGTGCTGTGGAAAACGGGTTCAGAGAGACTAGTTTTTGCAGAGGAGCCAAAGCAAGGTTCGGTGGTGGTGGCGGCAGTGGTGGCAGCAATGGTGGTGGTTGTGGTGGCAGAGATTGTGGCAACAGTGGCGGTGGCATGGTCAGTCTTGGAGTAGCAGAGGCGGTGTGGCTGGTACCATTCTTCGTGCTGCTAGGGGCTGCAATGCAATGGCTGTGGTGCCTGCAAGGAACGAGGCAGCAGCAGCGGAAGCAGCAGCAGCAGCATGACGTGTAACAGCCTTGAACGCAAGGACCATGACCATCGTGTGTTTGTACATTGAGGGCTTCCCCGAGTTCCAAACAACAAACCATGGGTTTTGCAGCACCGCATCCAAGCTGCTTTCATTCTCGTGCATGTTTGGTTGGAGTGCTGCGTGAAAGCAGCGTGGCATGCCATGCCAGGACAGGCCATGCCGTGTTTGTATTGTATCATGGTTAACATACTGTTCTGACTGGTGGTGGCAGTTCCTGTAGCATTTTGCTGCGGCGATCGGTTGCTTTCTTTTGAAGCGTGTATCATAAGAGTTGTCTGTTAACTGACTATTTCCTTTGTTCACATATCCTCCGAATTATCTTCACGGCACGACATGTACCGAATGGGACCTAGGACAAAAGAAACATAAAATCCGACTTGGATAATTGACCGCCTCCAGTATCTGGCTTTAGGTCTGCTTTTTGCAGATTTGGTTGTATGTTATCTTGGACCCCTTCTACAATTTCTATTAGATCAAAACACTGTCAACGTCATTCCGTTATAAGATTTATTTCACACGTTTCACAGATGCCACATTTTGATATAATACAATTGTTTAACGAGCAGCACCAATGCACACGAGGCCGGATCAATGCACCTGGCCTACGGGATCAGCCATCTAAAAAAGGCCTTATGACCATCTACACCAGTATTCCACAGTTTGGATAACAAAAACAATGAATTTAACAAATGAACAGCAAACACAGGTATGGCCGCCTGCTTGCTGGCTAGCGTCAACAGGCACAACACATCCAATGCCACAACCCCAAGTCCAATCCCATGCCCTTCCATTCCATCTCACACGCCTCCTCACCCAGGGCATCAAAATTCAGCGGCAAGACAAGCATAAATCAGAAAGGGCAAAGAGACGCAGGACGAGCAACATAAGTGCCAGATGGTGCACGGATCATGGCCCACCGACCCACCCCACACGACGGAGCGAGGCTGAGGAGGCAGGCAGAAGAGGGAGGAACTAGCGGGGTCTGCAGAGGACCTTGCCGACGTAGAGCGTGTAGCGGTTGCATGTGAAGCCGGGGTTGTAGTAATACAAGAGGGAGGATTTGCAGCGGAACACCTTGCAAATGACCGAGCTGCACGTGTCGCCGCGCACAACTGTGTACGTGCCGTACAGGCACCTCGTTGCTCCCACTGTCAGCGACTGCACACACACCTGTGCAGACGAGAAGGCGAGCAAGAGAGGAGCGACCAGGGAGGGCAAGAAAGGCAAGAAACTAGGTGAGTTTCGGGCAGAAAAGGAATCAGCGAAGGGTGGAGAGGGGGATATGGATTCTGGATCTTTGTACCAGCAAGGTGAAGGAAGAATACCGTAGCAAGGGCGAGCTTGTGGGATGCGTCGGGGAAGCATCGGATGTACAGATAACGGTTAAGAGTGGTACCTGCTGGCCCACGAGACGCTGAGAAGCGTCGGACGTGCAGATGATTCCGGGGTTGTACTGGTAGAGCTGGGTGGCTGAGATGGGCGGCTGCGTGTTGATCATGACATCGTTGCATGTCTCCCCGGGGTTGATGTAGTAGTATGAGAGGCACGACTGGTTCTGCGGGCTGCCGATTTGTGCGCACAGAAGCTGGCCGATCATGAGGGACGCGCAGTCCAGGTCGGGGTTGATTGTCTTGAGCCCGTCAATTGTGAGGTTGAACATGGTTGAGACCGTGTCGCATGTGTCGCCCTGCGGTTGGATGGGGTGGAGCGGTGCACATGAGGAGAGCAGGGTTGAGGATAGGACGATGCGATAGTGGTGGTGGGGAGGGGTATGTAGGAAGAACTGAAAGAGGAGAGCGGGAGGGGAGAGGGAACGGAGAGGGAGGGGAGGGACGAAGTGCATGGACCGATAACAAGAACAACCAGCGAGGCAAAGCGAGAAGGCTAGGTGTGGGGGAGAAGGCAGGGGAGAAGGAAAGGCAAAGGAGGAGAGACGGCGGCTTACGGGTCCAACGGTGTAGGGAGTGACACAACCGTACTGAGTGCCTGTTGAGTTGCGGACTACCACCGTGGTGCCCGCTGGGATGGGCTTGACACAGTTTATGGTCTGTGAATAAGACAGGGAGGTTAGGGGACGCAGGCGAGAGGGGTGGATAAGGAGGGGCGGACAAAGAGGCCGGACAAAGAGGATAACAGGAGTGGTTTAGGTCTAGGGCCAGGGCGATTAATGAGTGTACGTTGTACACCACTTAGGAACACCAGCTCAAGGCATCTTGCGTCTAGAGACTCAATCTCAATCGGTGCGGAGGAGGGAGCAGCAAGAAAGCCAGAAGAATACTAGAAACTCACCGGATTGAGGGTGATGAAATCAGCCTTGGACATGATGTAAGTAGATCGCACTTGCGCACACTTGATGGCCACGGGCATGACCACCGTGGTGGATGGCGGCGCTGCATGCCAAACAAGGGAAACAGGGCAGAGGAGAAGCGGAGGGGAGGAGAGGACAGCAGAGGAGCAGGCAATAAGGTTGGTACAGGAAAATGAGAGAGGGATGGATGCTGGACGACTGGCAGCCCAGCCTTGGGAGGTTGTTGGGAGAAGGAAGGGAAAAGGTAGGGCCAAAAGAAACGGAAGAGGACGAGCACAGCGCAGGGCAGGGTGGGGCAGGGCGGGGCAGGGTGGGGCAGGGCGGGGCAGGGCGGGGCAGGGCGGGGCAGGGCGGGGCAGGGCGGGGCGTTGCAAGGGAGGGCACTGACCAGGAACGCAGGTGGTGGAGCCATCAGTGAGGGCGCCGACTTGGTAGCCGAGGGAGCAGAGGCACGTGTAGCCGCCCGCCATGTCGTCCACACACGTGCCGAAACCACACGGGTTCATCACGAAAAAGGCACACACGCGCGCTGTTGCGGGGGGCACAGGAAGAGGGAGAAGAGGGAGGGGGTTAAGACAGGAGGATTAGCGAGAGAAGGAGGTGGAAAGGAAGAGAGGGGCGAGAGCTTGGGAACAGCAAGAGAAGAGATGAGAGAAAGGGGCTTGCAGAAGGGAGGACGAGAGGAAGAGAAAGAGAAAGAGAATGCGTACTCATGGTGCAGGACTGCGTCTTGTCGAGGTTGGTGACAGCCATGAAGTTAGCTGGGCACGTGCACTTGTTCTTGAATGGCTTGCCCTTGAACGGCGTGCACACACCACCTCCGCACGGGTTCGGCTTGCAGGGATCGGGCGCTGCAGGGGGAGAGAGGGAGAGAGGGAGAGAGAGGGAGAGGGGGAGAGAGGTGGTGGCAGGAGAGTTAGAAACCTGAGGGAGTGGGGCCGGGAAGTCGGAAATGGGTTGTAATTCTGGATATAGAGGAGTCGAGGAAGGTGGACGAAGGAAGGCAAGTGGAGAAAGGCAAGTGGAGGAAGGCAAGTAGAGGGGAAAGAGAGGAACATGAGAGGGAAGGGAATCTTACTCTGGAGGACCGGATACATTGCCGGCATGGTATGCATGCCGCATATGCCAGGACCGCCCGCAATGGCGATCTTCATGTAGCCATTCTCGCCCCACGATGGGCCCCATGAGTTGCGGATGATCCAGTGGGGCGTCGCGTCCAGCAGGTTGAACCCCACCACCACCACCAGATGGTCCACGACCTCAGTTGCAAAGCAGTTGAGATCCGCGTAGACAAAGCCCTGCGTGCAGCCACGAGAGCACCAACACACAAAGAAATCGACAAACACGGATTCGTGTAAAAGGGAGCAACGCAGGCCACAGCGAAAAAGAAAAACGCATTACCAAAAACAACAACAACAACAACCGCATACCCCGGGGTACTTGATGAAGGACTCGGCCGAGGCAGCAATGTAGGTAACAGCAGGCTGCTGCTGCACCGTGAGAGCCAGCCCAATCCACCCGCCGATCTGCACCGTCTCAAACATGGAAATCGCATACGGCGCCGGAGGCAGCGGCACAGGTGTTGCCGCCCTCTTGGCCTTCAGGCTGCGGATGGCGCGAGAGAAAATGTCTGAGGGGTTGGCCAAGTCCGGAGAAACCGAGGCGGCGGAGGAAGAGGCGGAATCAACGGACTCAGAGAGGTGGCGGAGGGAGGAGGTGGAGATGGTGGCGTCGTCGGAGAGGAGGCGGCGGAGAGAAAGCGAGCGCTTGGTGACCATGCAGGAGCCAGAGTTAAGAATCCCAGTGTAGGGGTAGGTGTCTCTGGTGGGAAGGCCACCGGAAGCGGCGATGTAGTTGAAGGCGTCGTCGGGGCGGCCGCCCTCGCAGTCCCACGTGCCCTGGCAGTCGATGGCCTTCTGCTCCGAGATGTTGGGCGGCGCGACGTTGTAGACGATTGCGTAGAGGGCTTCCATGGCTGCCACGGGTGCGAACACCCAACAGGCGGCTGCATGAGAGGGTGGGAAGGGGGGGAGAGAGGGAGAAAGGAAGCAAGAGGGGGGGAGAGAATGAGGAGTGAGAAATAGCTGGGGACAGTTAGGGGGCGACACAGCAGCGAGGGAAAAAAAAAAAAAAAAAAAAAAAAAAAAACGGCAGCTTGAGAGTTTTTCCAGGGAAGTGGAGAACGGCTTACAGCAGAGGCCTTGGTCCTTGGCGCCAGTCAGAGTAGCCGGGATGCGCGCGCGCCAGTCAACGGCCGGGTTGATGTTCCAGAGAGGAGTGGTGTAGTTGCCCGTGAAGCTGGTAGAGGCGTAGCGGAAGTACTTGTTGTAGTAGGAGCTTGAGACAATGGCAGACGTGTCTTTGGCCCCCTTGTACTCGCGCCTCTTGATCGTTCCCGGGTCGATCATGGGGGGGGCTGTGGGATGGAGGGGGGACGGAGGAGGAAAGGGGAGAGGGGACCGGAAGGGGGGTTAGGGAGGAATGGAGTGCGGCTATGCAAGGTATGAACAGGGGCAAGTGGGGAGACGGGAGAGAGATTAAAGAATGGAACGCGGAAAGACAGCGACGTGAAGCGGCGGGGTAAGAGGGACTTACGAGGTGTCGTGGGGCCTTGGTTGGGCGAGCACGAGGGGTAGCTGATAGTCACTTTGCCCACTTGAATGGAGAGCAGCACGTTGAACATGCCAGCGTTGCAGGCGCAGGTGGGGGTGTTGGAGGGGGCAGCCAGGTAGCACATGCCGAGTCCCCCACACGGCCCTGCGGGGAGAGCTGCGCCGCAGAACCCAACGCATTCCACAGCGCGCCGCTGAGGACCCACCGGGCATCCCGTTCCCGCACTCGCACTGCCACCGCTGGCGCCGTTCCCGTTTCCATTCCCATTCCCGTTGCTGCTGCCCTTCTTTGGGTTTTTCTTTCCGCCCTTGCTGGCTTTCGCTGAAGAGTAATAATACGAGGTTGCAGAGCCGGACGAGGACGCGGAATACGACGAAACAGACGCCTTGCCGTACGCGTTCCCGTTGCCGTTGCCATTCCCGTTGCCGTTGCCATTCCCGTTGCCATTCTTCTTGAACTTCTTATCGAAGCCCGTGCCCTTGGCCGCGACGTCCCTGTTATGCTTTCCCTTGCCGTCCGTGAAACTCTGCGACACGTTCCAGTAGCCGCCCAGGAAACAATTATCCTTCATTCCGCTGAACTTGGACACGCCGTACATCTCGAGGTTCGCCTCCGCGTATCCGCCGCCGACCTGCGACGGGCAGAACTGCGACGCGCCGGCGGTGAAGATGTTCGGGTAGGTGACGAAGTAGTTGCTGCTCAGGTCGTAAGTCGCCTGCGCCGCGACGCCGAGCGACGCGGAGGAGAAGACGGAGAGCGGCGCTCCGGAGAGCTGGTTCTTGCTCACGTCGCTGTGGGCGGAAGCGGGGGGGGAGAAGGGCGGAGAGCGGAAGTGCGGGGGAACGGGGAAGGAAAAGGGGGGGAGGGGGAGGGAGGGGGGGGAGAGTGAGGGGTAGGGATGGGGAAATGGTGCGTGGAAAGGCAGCGGGAAGAAGTCGGACGCATGGATGGCAGACGGGAGGGTATGATTTGAAAAAGGAGCACAACGAAGCAACGGAGCGCGTTCGTTGAGGAAAGAAGCGAGCGCGCTTACAGGAAGACGAGGTTCGAGAGCGAGCCCAAGGCTTGTGGGAGGTTGCCGTAGAAGCCGTTCCCGTTGAGATCCCTGAAAGCGACGGAGCAGGGAGGGAGGAGGAAGCGACAGAGGAGGAAGGGGGGGGAGAGGAGTTTAGAAATGCAGCGGGCATAAAAACCAGAGGGTAAGGGACGGGCAGGCAGAGGCGCTGTGGGCTAGGCGCGGAGGTGGATCGGTGAGCGCGAAACCGGTGCGCGAAAACGGAGGGACGCGCATTGCGCATGTGAATGGAGTTAACGGAGAATTCGAGACGAGATGTCGCTGGAGAAAGTGACGACGGTGAGGGCGAGGGACTGACAGCGCGACGAGCGAGGCGAGGCTGGAGAAGGACGAGGGGAGCACGCCCGAGAGCTTGTTGTCACCCACCAGCCTGCGGAGCCAGGCGGAGGGAAAAGCAGGGATGGAGAGGATGAGAAACGTCAGTTAAAACAGGCGTTGTTGCGCGAACGGAAGACACGAGGGGGAAAAAAGGGGGAGGGGGGGAGAGAATGTGCGGAGGCGGAGGCGGAAGCGGAAGCGTACAAATGGCGGAGCTGCGCGAGCGAGAAGAGGCTGTTAGGGAAGCTTCCTGTGAAGGCGTTGAGGCCCAGCGCCCTGCACACAAGCAAGGATACAAAGGAACAAAGGAAGGAGAGAAGTAGGTATCCGATGAGTAGCGATAAGTGAAGATAGTGGACTGAAACCGATTCAAAGCGCGAGCTTTGGGATGGTGCCGAAGCGAACGGAAACATGGAGGAGAGCAGGTGTATGAACGAGGGCGCGGAGAGTGCTGTGCACCTAGCGAGGGATTATGAAGCGAGAGGTGGTGCGGCGCGGGGACGTACAGTGTCTGCAGGCTGCCCATGCCCCAGAAGATGTCGGGAATGGCGCCGGAGAGACGGTTCGCGCTCAGGTCGCTGGAATGGAGGAGAGCGGAGGGGGAAGAAGTGGGGAGGAAGGGAGAGACCTCGTTAGCTTGACGTCGAGGGTGCTTTACGGCCGGGACGATTGAAAATACATGATAGACGTTTGAGAAAAGCGTCGGAGGAAAGGCCTTCACGTGCGCGTGCGAGAGCACGGGCGTGCGAATGCGTGCGACGTACAGCGTCTGGAGGCTGGCGAGGTTCGCGACGCTGGAAGGGATTTCGCCCTCGAGAGCATTACCGCTCAGCGACCTGCGACAGCGAGCGACGGAGAGCACACGAATACAGGATTGAGCGAAGGGAGCAACGAAAAGACGGAAACAGCCGATCAAAAGAGTGCGGAACAAAAGAAAAAATGTAGACGGACGGGAAGAGAGAGCAGTGCGACTTCGCGGATTGGGAGGCGAGGCGGGAACCCGAACGGAACAACTGCGTACAGATTAGTGAGCGCGGTCATGTAGCCGATGTTAGTGGGTATGCTGCCGCCCAGGAAATTATGGTCCAGGCTCCTGCGGGCGAGAGGGAGGGAGAGAGAGTCACATTAGGACAGCGATGTGGGAAAGATCGGGCAGAGTAACGGGTAGAGACAGAGGCAGAGGGTGAGAGTGGGCGTGAGAATGAGTAAACAACGAGAAAGAGAAGACGGCGGCGTGGGCTTGGTCAACTTACAGCTTTTGCAGCGCGACGAGTTGGGTGATGGCGGGAGGGATGCTCTGCCCCGCCAACAACGGCCGGTTGGGGATTTCACTGCACACAGCAAGGGAGAGAATAAAAACCGAAGGGGTAGGAGGGGAACGTGACGATTTGAAGATGGCCCGATGGGCGAAAAGGAGTGTGTTAGCTTTTGAAACGTTGCGAACGGGGAGGACGGAAGGGAAGGCCACTGCAGGAAGGAAGAGAGCAGGTGGCGCCGAGTGCGTTCGAAAGGGGAGCCGGAGACGGGAGACGGGAGGCGGGAGGCGGGAGACGGGAGGCGGGAGACGGGAGACGGGAGACGGGAGACGGGAGACGGGAGACGGGAGACGGGAGACGGGAGACGGGAGATATTGCGTGGAGAAGACACGGCACGTACAGTGAGATGACGCGGCCGTCGAATGCGCATTTAAGGCCAAACCAATCCGCGCAGTCGGCGGCAACGAACCACGACTGCGCTAGCCGCGGCACATAGTCACCCCACGCCGTGAGAATCGCCTGAAGCGCCGGTTCTGTCGGAGTCAACAGGGATAGGGATGGAAGAGGAACGAGTGAGCAATATACAGGTAGGTACATAAGGGGGCTCGACGGATAGCCAACAAAATGAAGTCAAAACACTCAGACCGCAAAACGACAAGCCAGCAGCGAGAAGCCATCGAAATACGAGCCAGCAGCGAGACCAGACTGGGATCAGCAAACAAGGCGGCGTACTTTGACTGTCGGCAACTGGTTGAGCGGCGATTAGGGGGGAGAGGGCGGCGAGGAGAGCGAGCGATAGGAAAATCCGCGAAGGAACGGCGGGAGGATGCCGTTGGTGCCGATGTAGCGGCCCCATGGCTGACACGTGTTTATGGACGCACTCAGGAGAGTCGGTGGCTGAGGGAAGGGGAGAAGGGGAGATAGAAAGAGATGAGGAACGGACATAGATGAGTGGGTAGGAGGGGAAGTGAGACACAGGCACCAAGTGGCGAGAGGAACCTGAACTCGGTAGAAAGTACGTTCTGCGCAGATGATTCTCGCAACGGCTACTGCTCGCTTCTCGTGGTATGCGATTAGGAACAAGGTATCGGTCATTCTTAAAAGCAGCTATGGCATAGGCGCCAGCGTGCAATCGTCGCTATCCGCTACCAGTGTCACACACGCAATCGGTCATTAGTCACGCGTCACTCATTCGTATGTCCGCAACACAGGCGCATAGTATCAGTGGCTTCCGGAGAGATGAGAAAAAAGGAAAAATCATGCTCCCGAGTCACGCCATTTGCGGAGAAGTGTCTACCTATTGGATAAGACTTCGCAGCCGGCTCAGGGGGACTTGCTTCACTCAAACTGCTGCAATGTCGTCCGCCGCTGTTGACAGGAGACTTCCGTGTAACTAGGTTCGGCTATTCCCACAGATTGATTGGAATGCAGATCACTTGAAAATGCTAATCAACTCTGTTAGGGGCTATGATATGGAGTAACAGCAGAGACTATCTGACTAGAACGGAGGCAGTATATACGGCTGTCACAAACCCTTGTTTGGCTTGGCTTGGATGGTCGGTTGGGGGGTTGGTGAAGGGGTAGCAACAGTAAAAGAGGTTGTTGGTGAAAGTGCTGTTGTTGGGAAAGACTGTTTTTGGAGGAGAGGAAACGACACACGGCATGACATGACGGGAGTTTGTGGGTGAAGTGAGCAGGCGAGGTGTGTGCGACCATGTGCGACCAGCGTATTTGGGATTGCACCAATTACAGCAAAGCAGGGCAGCAGCCTGAGCAGCAGGGAAGAAAAAGGGGGTGAAGGGCAAGGGGGAGGCGGTAGGGGCATTTGCAGAAAAGGGGAGGCTTGCAGAGGAGCTCTTTTGCAGCCCCTTGTTGTGTAGCGAAGCGAGAGAGTCGCAAGCATCGCGCAATGGATGGTTGGTGAGGTAATGGTGGGGGTGTTTGTTGGTATTGTTTATTTGAAAAGGCCAAGGAGCACCAATGGACCACGCACATGCTGCTGCGAACATGTGATGTGATGTCAAGGTGGGGTGGGGAGCTGACATCGGCGACAGCACGCGGCGCTGATTCTACACCGCAACCCACCAGTCCGTGGCGCAGAGATGGGCAGCAGTGCATCAGGGGGGGAAGGAGAATTTCTGCAGCAGTAGCAGGAGGGAGGTTCATGTCAGGTGAAACGAATTTTTACGTGCGCAACATCATCAGTTTTGTTTGGGGGAGGTGTTGCAGCCTGCGCGCAGATGCACTAGAACTGTACAAGTCGATTTCCAGGAGATTCCGCTGTTTTTACTGTTTCGGCTTTGTGCGCGCTGTACAGTAACGTGGGTCAAGCACGCTAGGTGCAAGTGACTTTTCCAGAAGTTGATCTGGCTAAGTTTCCTGTCACGACTGTCACGAGGGTATCTTTGCCCGACCCGTCGTATGCCTAAAATTCCCACCACGTTGGGCAATTTTTTCACATTCATAACGCCGCTTTCGAAATTGTAAATGCAGCCTGTAATTTTGGGATCAGCAAAGCAGCAATCCCGCTTACACCACTAGCTGAGGATGCGATAAAGATGCGAAACGGCAGCAAGAATGTTGCAAGCTCACGCGGTTTAACTGATTTTATCTGCTGTGTGGTGTCTTGTTGGCAGCGCTTTCTCAGAAGTTCGTAATAGACATCATTTTCAGGGTCCCCTCCGAATTGCAGATAGCTGAAAGCCAGCTTCCACTAAGTCATTTGAATTATGTTTTCACCTGCTTGGTTGAAAACCACATCCCACTCGTTTCTATCGTCCAAAGTTCTTCATACCTAAAACTCTGCGCTAAAAACGTAAAAACACTCCTACTTTCCTGGGTCCCAGCTTGCCGGTTGCGAAGGGCAGTACAGTGGAATGCCGTTACAGCACTGCAGACGCTCCCACCCACCCCCACCAAGAGAATGTACTATAAGTCGACAACTCGCTATATGCCATATGCAACAGCTCGAAGTAAATTATGTGAATTGTCCAAATATGTAATCAATATGGCACTATGGGGGGATAATTTGAAAAAGGGCTACAAATATGGTTCTGGGGAAAACAAGGCCACACTTCAATGTTTGTGTCAAACATATGTTTATATCATATTTGAGGGTAGGCAGTAGTGGGGTAGATTATGTGGGGTATAACCCCTTAGGGTTTTCCCTTGTACTAAATTCTCTCGATAGTGCAACTCACTCATGCCTAGCTTCTAAGATCTAGAGCATAGGTCTTTAGGACCTAAGTTTAGGGCCCACCGTTCATCACTTTACCTCACCTACGGCTTGCCTGCCTTGCCTGCTGCCCGCGTGCGCCTCTACTGCACGCGCGCGGCCACTTTTTTTTTCCCGCGCGCGCCACTTAAATAGCCTGCGAGAAGCCCATTTTCGGCCCCGCGCGCCACGTTAGCCGCCCGCGCCGCCTACTGCCGTCCCGCACGCCACTTCAACCGCCCGCGCACAGCCGCTTAGGCCCCGCCCGCGCGGCCTGCTGCCGCATGCAGCCCGTAGCCGCGCGCAGCCCGTAGCTGCGCGCAGCCCGTCGCCAAGCACACACAGCAGCCGCGCGCAGCCCTCAGCCGCCCTTGGACGCCGCGACGCCGCCTCTGGACCCGTGAGGCCGCCCCTGGAGCAGCCGCCCCTGGACCCAGAGCCGTCGACCCTGGCTCCTACAGCAGCCGCCCCTGGACCCTCGAGCAGCCGCCCCCGGACCCAGAGCAGCCGCCCCTGGACCCTCGAGCAGCCGCCCCTGGACCCAAAGCAGCCGCCCCTGGCCCCTGAAGCAGCTGCCCCTAGTGCAGCCGCCCCTGGACCCTCGAGAAGCCGTCCCTGGAACCAGAGCAGCCGCCCCTGGCTCCTACAGCAACCGCCCCTGGTGCAGCCGCCCCTTGACCCAGAGCAGCTGCCCCTGGCTCCTACAGCAGCCGCCCGTGGTGCAACCGCCCCTAGACCCTCGAGCAGCTGCCCCTGGACCCTGAGCAACCGCCCCTGGCCCCTGCAGCAGCCGCCCCTGGACCCTCGAGCAGCTGCCTCTAGACCCAGAGCAGCCGCCCCTGGCCCCTGAAGCAGCCGCCCCTGGCCCCTGAACAGCCGCCCCTGGTGCAGCCGCCCCTGGACTCCGTGCAGCCGCCCCTGGACGCTGCGACGCCGCCCCTGGACCCGTGAGGCCGCCCCTGGACCCCGTGCAGCCGCCCGTCGAGCGCCGACCCTGCTCACCCGGCGAGCGCCTGCTCTTCTCGCCTTGTTAGCGTGCTGCCCCACTCCCTGCCTGCCTGCCTGCCTACCTGCCTGCCTGCCGGCCTGCCTCCCTGTGTGCCTGCCTGCCTGCTAGCTGGCCTGCCTGTCTGCCTGACTACCTGCCGGCATGCCTGCCTACCTACCGGCCTGTCTGCCTGCCTACCTGCCCGCGCTGCTACTGCTACTGCTGTCGCTACTACTGCTGCTGCTACTAGGCTGCTGCTGCTGCTGCTACTGCTGCGATGCAGCTCCAGCGACGTCCGCGCGAGTCTCTCACGCCCCAGCAGCTTCGTGAGTGGTAAGGTAGTTGGGGTTGTGGCAGGGGCCGTGGTGGCTGTAGCCCTGGAGCTGATCTGTTGGGAGCGTCTGGCAGTGGCCAGCCGCAGCTACAGCGGCGTTCGCGTGAGACACTTACGCCCCTGCAGCTTCACGAGTGGTATGCTCAGAGTAGAGGGTCTTTGAGTACCGTTCGCTGCCTGTACGTCATTCGCACGGGTGATGAGACTGGTCAGGTTTGCGGGACGCTTAGTCACACACAGTCCCGCTGCTTCGCCCGTCTGAGCAACACTTGGCGTACCGAGTCTGGCGACGAGGCTGAGCTCCCCGCCTGGCTGGAGCTGCTTGGACAGAGGTTAGATATCTTTGCTCTTGACTATGATGCTATTCTCACTGCCATGTATGCATTGCCTACTAGTGCCGACTGTGCCTGTTACCTATGCGTACCGCCTAACCCAAGTATAGAGCCTGCTGGTCTCGGTGCTGGTGAGGCTACTGCTCTAGGTGCTGGTGAGTCTGCTGCTCCAGGTGCTGGTGAGCTTGCTCTCTCTGGTACTTCGCCTGCTGAGGCCTTGTACACCTTCACACTTGACTCCGGTGCTTCCCGCTCCTTCTTTCGCGACAGCACCACCCTCACGCCGCTCAGTCGGCCGGTTGCAGTCTCCCTGGCAGACCCCTCTGGGGGTCCAGTCCGTGCGACCTCCACCACTGTCCTCCCTTGTCCTGCTGTCCCGTCCAACACACTGTCGGGTCTTTACCTCCCCTCGTTCTCTACGAACTTGGTGGCGGGTTCTGCGCTCCAGGACGCGGGTGTTCACCAGTTCACCCCTGCCTACGAGCGTGTGACACACTGCACATGTGCTCGGACGGGTCGTCACCTGGCTGCCTTCACTTGGCAGCCGGGGTCGGGCCTGTACACAGTGACCACTGAGTCCCCTCAAGTAGCTGCGTCTACGTCTGCGTCCAGTCAGTTGTCGGCCCCCTGCTCGTGTCGCGCCTTGTCGCACCAGACCCTCCTTTGGCACCACCGCCTTGGTCACCCCTAGGTGCAGCGCCTTCGCAGCATGCACCGCCGTGTCCTTGTCTCTGGTCTTCCCAGGGTTCTCCCTCCCCTCCCACCCTCGCCTGCTCCTCCTTGTTTTCCCTGTGTCAAGGGGCGGCAGCGCGCCGCTCCTCACTCCTCCTCGTTCCCTCCCACAGAGGCTCCCTTGCAGACTCTCCACCTGGACGTGTGGGGCCCAGCCCGCGTCCGGGGACAGGGCCACGAGCAGTACTTCCTGCTGGTCGTCGACGACTACACGCGTTACACCACGGTCTTCCCCTTGCGCACCAAGGGTGAGGTCCCTGATATTTTGATCCCTTGGATCCGCGCTACTCGTCTCCAGCTCCACGAGCGGTTTGGGACGAATTTTCCCATCCTGCGTCTGCACTCTGACAGAGGTGGTGAGTTTTCCTCCGACCTCTTAGCAGCCTTCTGTGAGGAGCACGGCATCACCCAGTCGTTCACACTTCCGGCCTCTCCGCAGCAAAATGGGGTTGCTGAGCGCCGCATTGGCTTAGTCATGGAGGTCGCTCGTACCTCCATGATCCATGCGGCTGCCCCCCATTTTCTGTGGCCATTTGCGTCCGCTACGCTGCGCATCAGCTCAACCTCTGGCCCCGTGTCTCCTTGCCGGAGACCTCGCCCACACTGCTGTAGACGGGGAAGGTTGGCGATGCGTCGCGTTTCCGGGTCTGAGGTGCTCGTGCCTTTGTCCGCGATACCACCGCGAACAAGCTCTCCGCCCGCGCTGTTCCTTGTGTCTTCCTTGGCTTTGTCCCTGACACGCCTGGTTGGCAGTTTTACCACCCCACCTCGCGCCGTGTCTTCCCCTCTCAGGACGTCACGTTCGACGAGCCGGTTCCCTTTTACCGTCTCTTCCCCTACCGCACTGCCCCTCTCCCCCTTCCGCCGCTCTTCCTCGCTCCAGGTGCTCCCCAGGTAGACCCCCTCCCCACTCCCGGTCCTGCTCCTTCAGGTGTGTCTCAGGTAGACCCTCCTCCCTTGACTGCGCCGGTTGAGGTCACTTGTGACTCAGGTTCTGCTGAGGGTGGTGCTGCTCAGGGTGCTACTTCTGGGGGTGCTGAGCCTGGGGGTGCTGAGCCTGGGGGTGCGGTGCTTGTTGAAATGAACGAACTGGAATGATTGAACTAACAGTGAAAT